TAAATTTTAATGAAAAAATTTGATTTAAATTCAACGAAAAAGGTTTTAATTTTTGTTTTAGTGAAAGAAAGGTCATTTTTTAATTTTTGTGTTAACTTAATGAAAAATGGTTTTAATTGGAAAAAAGCTTTAATTAAGAAAAACTGTTTTATTTAGAAATATGTTTTTAAATAAAAAATGATTTAATTTTTGAAAAAAAACTTGTTAGAAAGATCTTAATTTTTAAAAAACTGATTACGTTATGTTTTTTTTTGTTGTTGAAATAGCTTACCTAAACTTAATTGCATTATTAATTACAAACTACATAGTTAATATAAATGAAAAAATAAACAATTGAATAATAAAATAAAAAAATGAAACGTAAATAAAAAGGCTTCTGCCGTTTTCTCCCTGGATGACTATCGAAGCTTTTCCTCTCCTTCAATCCTTGCATGTCATCTTCTATTTATTCTTCCCATTAATCTACAATCAATGAACAAAACAACACACAAAAATCATAAAATGCCGTAAATCAAAGGAAAGAGAAAGCTTACGGTAACGACGATGATGTTGAACGAACTGAGCCTCCGCCGTTGGGACTTTTTGCTCGCCGGTAGCGCTTGGCCGATGATGAATTCAAACTTGTTAGGGTTCTTCCAAAAAAATTCCTTCTTCTGATAAATCGTGAGAACGGCCGCCGTTTTTCTCTTTTGTCTCCTTCTTCTTTTATCAAATACAAACTCATGTTTATATAGGTAACAAATTAGGGTTAACTCTAACCTAATGCCTATTTTAAAGCCCAACTTAAATAATTAGTCAAAACTAAAAAAACAAACTAAAACAAACTTAAGAGAATAAAATCTTTTCTAATATTTTTAATTTTAAAATACGAAAATAATAATTAAATAATAAAAAAAAACTATTTTGTTATTTTTTTATATAAAAATAGAAAAGTTAGAATAAAAATAAAAGAAAAACAAAAAGTGAAGAAGGTGGGATTCGAACTCTCAACCTCTCACACTCACAACTCCTTACACACGGTCTCTTGCCAATTGTGCCATTTTATTCATTCAAAATAAAGTGGCACTAGAAACTATGTAAAGGTAGGACAAATTTGGGGTGCAACAGGTAGGATCGATATGATATTGTGTGGGTATGTGATAATAGTGATGAAGAACGATGTTCACAACCATTTGGCAGATTAGATGAATACATGTAAAAAGGGTTAAGGGTGTGTATGTATTTTGATCATTGTGTTTTATGCAAAACAATCGTTTATCCGATATGGGTGTCGTCTTTATTTACTTGTTTATCTTTGATCTGAACCGTAATAGAGATATACTCTGCAGATCCGGATCTAGGATGATTTCCTGTTAGGTCCTAAATTCTAGAGATAGGTTTAGGCTTAGCATTTGTTTGAGTATCAGATCTTAATGTGTTGTGTTGTATTTTTGTTGGAAGAGAGATCTCCAATGAGACAACATGGTTGTTCTCTCGACGCTGCTTTAGAGATAAGCTTTGTCATGGGTGATACATGATGATATTAGACGAATGATTGCACGGTGTTTAATTTGGTCAGAAGAATGCATATGTTATCAATTGATGAAATCCAATCCCAAAAAGACTCTGTTTATATTTCAGTATTTATTTTATATTTTCTATTTTTATTTATGGTTCCTTGAACTTTTTAAACCAAAAATTTTGAACAATAAGCTTAGAAATGTAGAGGCCGTTGAACAACGTTCATATCGCACTAATCCCCGTGGAGACGACAAAACTGAGTACTTAATATTTTTTGCTTGCTGCTTTACCGTGCACCAACAAAATGACGCCGTTGCCGGGGATTGGTGTTGAGATTTTGAAGTGCATTGAAACGGTTATATGTTTTTAAGCTTTGTATATTTTGTATATATTTGTTTATTTTTATGTTTTTTCTAGTGTGTTCAGGAATGACGAAAACTCCTTCTAGAGTGGTTGCTATCGGTATAAAAGTATTCAATAGAGCTTCGACCGAGTTTGGATGGCGATGATAGTATGAAACAAGTGAATGTTGTCAAGGTACGTGGGTTCCTTTGTTTAGAATTTTAGAATGCTTAAGAACTTAAGTCTTGGTGCAAATGAAATTTGTTCTTTTAGACACTTGTTTGAATGATTATTTCACTTAGGACTTAAAACCACAAATTGTGAGGAAACTTCCATTGTTTACTAAATGCTGGATTTCTGATAAACATTGTTGATTCGTATGATTCATGCTTTATCTTGTTATCATTGTAAATTTGTGGAAGCATTAGAAATGATCAAGACACTTGTTTGTATTGAGCACAACCATGTCCAAATACAACTTACCCGTGAGTAGAGAGAATTCGTTAACCCACTTGAGTCTAAACAGTATGAATCTCAGTTGAATTTGTGTGAGATTCTAAACTTTTTTCTCGAACCCTTGAATTTGTTTTAATTGTCTTCTTTGCCATAAAAAGCTAAGAGCATTCACTTGAGGGTTGAGTAAAAGTTAAGTTGGGGCGAATGAAAAAGGAAGATAGTAGGTTGTTACAACTTTTGAAAAATTCAAGCAAGCACATAAAAAAAATTGTGTGAATATGAAAAAAAAAAGAAAAAAAAAAGAAAAAAGAAAAGAAAAAGAATGCTCGCTTGGAAAAGAAAAATAGTGAAAGAATAAGTTGTGAAATAAGGTTTATGAAAGTTTTTAACTAAGAAACAAATGGAATGAAGTTGAGGTGTGTAAATATCGTGTTCGGTGAATGTCTCTTTTGCAACGGCAATATCGTTTCAATGGCTTTAGAAATGTCTCTTGTTTGTAAACCCGACCAAGCTACAACCTTAAAGACCTTAGTGATCTTCTTGCTTCCATATTTTTGCTTTTGATTTGTAGATATTGTATGAATTGAATTGATATTGAAATTGTTTGTTAGTTGAGTGAAATTATCCACCTTCAAATTATTTTATAATTTCTATACTTAATATAAATCATAATCATTGTCTTTTTTTTTTTATAAAAAAAATTATGTTTAGTTATATTCGTTTTTTTTCTTTTAATTTTGTTATGTATTCTATCATATTTTCTTTTATATCAAATTGTAAACCATTCATTTTATTTATTTTTGTTTATTCATTTTATTAAATATTTTGAACCAATTAATATTTAATAATAAGTTATTTTATATATTTGTTTTGTTATATGATTAATAACAATTTAAACGATGTTATTGGCATATAGTTTAATTTATATTGAAAAGTTATAAGTGGAATCAATTGTACTCAATTTTTTAATTTTATGTGACAAATAAATACTTTTTTAATCACTCAATATTAGAAATTTTATTACCAATAAAAATACGCATGAATTTTTTACATTTTAATATCATATGATTTATATAAGATCATAAGGATAAAAATGTAAATTATTAATAAAATCCCTTTCCTCCCCTTCTGAACTAAACACATTTTTAATTAAAATCCCTCACTTCCCCTCTCCTCTTCTCTTTTGAACCAAACACTTATCTGATTAAAAAAATCACTCCCCTCCCCTCCCCTCCCCTTCATTAAAATCCCTCCCCTCCCCTCCCCCTCATTTGAACCAAACAGACCCTTAGTTACAATTATAACTAGGATGGTTGACTAGGTTAAACTAGCATATACTAACAAATACTCTATTTATCTCCTCTTCTGTGAAGTTAAAAGCGTGTTGCTGATGTAAACCTTTGGGGTTTTGCTTAATTCTGAAAATCCACTTGCATCCAATGACATGTTTATTGGATTGTAGAAAAGTTAAGGTCCATGTATTATTTTGAGTAATGCATTGTGTTCACCAAACATGATTTTGGAGGGTAGTTTTGTGAGAGCTAGTTGAAGTTCAATAAGGAGAAGTGTAGGATGTAACCTAAGCTGCACAATCTCGTGGCCATATAATGAGTGTTATTAGAATAAAGAAAGCGTAAAGTAGGTTAAGGGTATGAATTGTAGGAGATACAAGTGAGATAGTGTCAGATGTGGAATTATAATTTTGTGAGTTTGGAGATGTTAGTGAAAGGGAAAAATGTGACTTTGTGATGGTTATAAGTTGAAGATGTAGATGAAAGTGAGTTAGGATTTTGAGAATGTTGAGTATTCTCTTTGTTCTATAATGAGTGATCCATTTAAAATTCTTCCGTCCCATAACGAGTGATTCATTTGAAATAAAAGAGTGTTTTAAAATGAATGACCCATTTCAATTTTCAATACATTTTTTTTTAATTTTACCTTTTAATTAATATTACTTTCATTATTTCAAACATGGTTGAAGATCGTTTCAAAATTTTGATACCATATTAGACGAGAGAATTGAAGAAAATTAGAGAATTTACATTTTTATCATTTGATAATTCTAAAGTTTAAAATAAAGTTTGTTACAAATCTAGAGCATATGCTAGCAATACTAGCCTATCCTCTAAATGGTTTAAATAAATTTGATTTTTTTTTATTAACAAAATTAGGTTTAAATTAGCACAATCTTTGTGGCTTGTTTTATATGACAAAAATTTCAAAGTCATATGTACTATCAAATTTACTAAACTGCATGAATCAATAACGGTATACCAGAATTCAGGCTCATGATATTTTCAAGCACCAAACAATAAACAGAAACAGTTATGCCAGATTCTCCTAGCAAGCTGAGGCACTCAGTAATTGCAGCAAATGAGAACAAAACAAAACTTAAAACTAGTTATAGAAAATAGCAATACCAAACAGAGTAGAAAGCACGTGGTGACAACAACAAGTCACGTGACAAATACAAATGACCTAACTAGGCAAACGGTTTCGGCTACGCGATGATATCAAAGTAGCAGCAAACAAAATACTTTCCCTCTCTCAGATATGTAAAAAATGAAAAATTCCTTTCTCGGAAGAGAATATACTCGCGCCATTCCATTCCATTTTATAACCGTTTCTTTCTTCTTCTTCTTCTTGTTCACTCTCTCCTCAGATCTACTTTCTCTCTCCTCTCTCTCTCTTGCAACGCATCAATGGCTTCTCATTCTGGTCTACTCAACCACCGAAATCTCCCTCTCCGTCTCTCCCGGATGAACCACCTCTCTCCCTCTTCACATTTCGATTGCGCTACTCTCAAGGTACTTTTCTACCGATTTCAATTTTTATTCATTATTATTTATCTGTGAATTCTGTTATATTATTATTCATTCATTGTTTAATTGATTTCTCCTTCAATTTTCTGCAGTTACGCCCATTAACTATTCATCAATACAGGCTATGTGTTCGACGTAATGCCATTTCTGCTAAAGCTTTAGACGAGGTACATCTTGTTTCAATATATGTCAAAATGAACCATGCTCATAGCTGAGGCTTAGGTTTAAACACAAGAATATGCAGCATTCACTATAATTATACTATCAGTATTATAGCTACTCTCGTTTTTTAGATTTTTTAGGTGATAACATCGATCATTAGATCTCTGCATTGATGATCAAGTATTTGAGATTAAGTAAAATTGTAGAGTTGATTATGAACATTAAATGACTTTTAATGTTGATTGTTATCTAGGTTGAATTTTTCTCCTCTCACTCTAAGAATATAAAGTATCTTTTCGCTTATTACATTCCTTATTTATAATAAGTTTTACTGCTGTTTTAGTGTGAAAATTCTCAATAAAACTTTAAAAAAAAACTCTGAAACCATACTTTATTTTCTAATATTGAGTTTTGAGAGGGAATTGTTATCAATTTTAAATTAAAATGCATCCCACAAACTAGGTGGACAATTTCTCTATTACAATAGGATTGCACCAAGGTTGAACACTAAACCCCTATCTTTTTACTTTAAATATGAATGTACTCAGGAAACACATCCAAGAGGTTCAATACTAAACCCTTACTTTTTTACTTTAATTATGGATGTATTCAAGAAACACATCTAAGAGGTAGTACCAAAATGTATGTTTTTTACATATGATATAGTCCTATTTGGAGAGTTGAAGGAGGATTTAATGAGAGATTGGAGACTTGGAGGTGAGTCTTTTGAAACGCATGACTTTCGCCTAAGGAGAAGTAAGACGGAATATATGGAATATAAGTTTAGCGAAAGGAGAAGCGTTTCTAGCCTAGAGGTGAAAGTTGAAAACCATGTCACTCAACAAGTCACGTGGTTTAAATATCTTGGGTCTGTAATACAACATGATGGAAAAATAGAAGGGGATGTTAACCATCAGATTCAAGCTGAGTGACTGAAATGAAGGAGTTCTTAGGAGTTTTATGTGACACAAAAGTACCTTTCAAGCTAAAGGAGGATTTTACTGGACATCAGTAAAAATATGCGACGTGTACGAGACAAAATGTTGAGCGGTTAAGAATCAATACGAGAATAAAGTAAGGTTAGCAGAGATGAGGATGTTTCGTTGTATGTGTGGTAAGACTAGACGGAAAGATTAGAAATGACAATATTAGAGAGAGTGTTGGGGTAACACCTATAGTAGAAAAAATGGTGAAAAATAGACTTAAGTAGTTTGAACATCTAGAGAGAAAAAATGGTGGAAAATAAACTTTGTTGTAAGGAGAGTACATCAGATGAAGATGAGTCAAATAACTAGAAGTAGAGGAAGTTCTAGAAAACTGTAAGACCATCTATTAAGAAAAACCTCAAAATAATCGAATTGGATAGAAACATGGTATTGGATATAACATTATGATAGAATTCGATCCATGTAGTCGACCCCATTTGGGAGGATAAGACTTGATTGTTGTTGTTGTTAAGAATTTCATTTAAAGGCATTTAGCAAACCAGTTATTTTGATTATTCGACTAATTCTCTAAGTTTATATCTGGGATTTAACTCAATGAATCCCTTGAAGGCTCTAACAAGTCATTTCTTGTCATGAGCTGTGAATTATCTATAGTATTGTTGTTTCGTTGTCGTGACATCTGATATGTGTTACAGGATTCCTTTGACTTTCCGATACTTGATGATTGGGGTCCTGAAGGTAGTCCTTCGTATGTGCTCTCATCGAGTGACGACGAAGACTTTGATGATGAAGTCTTTCTTATCCCAGTGAATGATGTTGATTTGCCTTCTGCTTCTGCTTCAAACAATGATGCTTTAACAGTGGCTGCTCATCGGCTTTCAACCATTGGGAGGGGACACAAGAAACATAGGCAAGTATGTTGTAGAACTGGTGCAAATGGTTATGTTTGGGATACCCTTATTTGTCAAAGAGAACATTTCATATACTGAAAAATTAAACTATTATTTCATAGCATTTGTATGGTATCTAGATATTTTGGTTTGATTTTATCATGTTTTGCCTCTGAGCAATTTATTAGAATATAATGGGAGAACTTCAATTTATTAGAACTGTAACTGAGAATTTGCAAAAAAGCACAGCAAAGATGAAAATTTGGAGATTAATTGACATCTAAGGTGTAGGTGACCTAAATGAATTGAAATTCCGGTAGTTTTTTGTTAGAGCTAGATTTGCATCTTTATGGTCGGTGCGTGATTGCCTTTTCTATCAGCTTTTAAGCTATTGGATGGAGATCAAATGGCTGATCTTGTAACTTCAGTAAAAATGAATTTAAACTTAAAACCATTAATTTTTTAGAAGGTGGAGATGGATACTGCCGTAAATTTTACTGTATTCAATCCATTTCAAATTGTGCGCTAGATAGATGCAGATTGCCAATAGTCACCCATCGGTATCACTTCCTTGCTAGTTTATTTTGTTTTAAAATTAATTTAATTGGAAGTTGAGAGTGTAAGAGAAGAAAATTCAATGATGGCGGAGTGACAGATTGTATGAATGAGTTTCCTTAAATGCAGAGGATCTCATTCCGTGGCAGACTAGTATTTAATTAAGTAACTCATGATTATAAATTGCATTTCCTATTTCTGTGTGATGTTACATTAACCTAGTTTTGTTTTAATTATTTTCAGGGTCAAGCGTGGCCTTTTCATCACTATGGGGCTTATAATCGTCTTGACAGTACTGCTTTTATATGTTGATTGGTGTGTGTGGAAAATTGTTAAACTGCCGTTAGCACCTTTTTACTTGACCCGCCCGTTTCTCATATCAGCCGTTTTGGTTTCTTTTGCTGGCTATGTTTGTGTCCCAATTTTTCATCATTTGAAAGCTATCCATGTTATCAAGCTACAAGGGCCTCTTAGACAGCACTTGAAAAAGAGGACACCTACATTGGGTGGTTTACTTTTTGTACCTATTGGTGTAATTGTCGCTCATTTTATAGCTGATTCCTCATCTATAGAAGTGTCCGGGGTATGTGGTGTAACAATTGCATTTGCAGCAGTCGGTTTACTCAGTGACATATTAAACCTCACCAAGAATCATTGGAGAGGCTTACCAGCATTGGCAGAAGTTTGCTTGGAGGTGATTACTCTATTACTCTATTAACTTTTATTAATTTAAAGCATTATTTGTGGGGTTTTGATGTGCTTGCTAGTTGAGCTATTGTTCTTTGAAACCCAAAAAATATTATATGTTGGTCCCTCATGGATAATATTTCTATCCCTTTATATATCAGTTTTTGCAATCTAATCCCTCATCAGTCCAAGATTCCAAGTTTGTAATCCAAATCCGCCTCATAAAAACATTCAAATTGGAAAATAAAAAATTATGTGCAAGGGACTCTAGATTTGGGGAAAAAAAAAACTAAAATAAGTTGCTTGTTTTAAAAAAAAAATACATTGCTTACATCCATTTCTATTTAATAAATCTGCATTTTGATACCACACAGGTAGCTGTCGGAACGTGCTTTTCGTTTTGGTTGAACATCACCAGTATATCTTCACCCTATGGCATGTATACCTTCTTGTAACTAATCTGATCAGCATTTTTCTGATAGTAACTCACATATAAAACTAATCTGGTCAACATTTTCTGATGGTAGCTCACATACCTGTTCTCACAAAAGGCATTGGCAGTTGCAAATGTGACGTTTTCCCCCTTCTGGTCTTGAGTCATACAAATAATAAAAAAATAAATTATATGAATATTTTTTCTGTTTTCAGTTAAAAACACACTAGACTAGTTTTAATCTCTGTTATCAGCAACATTAGGAATAAATCTTCACCAGTCCATTGATCGATCTGAAAAATCTACCCAATGTCAGGAGTGTAATTGGAAAAACTTAAGCGAGTGTACTTTGCTTTGAAAAGATCCATTCTCTTACTTTCTCTCACTTACATGCGTGCAGGAAGACATTGCTTCCCCTACCAGTAGGCCTTGTGTATTTGGGGCGATATTACCATCTCTTGACCTCGTATTGTTTTGTTTCCATGGGCCATGGTGTTAAATTAGCAGATGCTCTTGATGGACTTGCTGGAGGCACTGCTGCATTGGCTTTTATTGGAATGTCAATAGCTGTGCTTCCGATATGTTCAGGTTAGTAGCATGTCTAGTCAACCATAGACTTGGAAATCTAGTATCTCAAGTAAGATATTCTTTTCTTACTAGTTCCATATTCTAATTATTATAAATAGTAAATAATGTAATTTTGGCTATCATGTTGTTGTCTTGCAACCTTGCACTTGAACATGAAAATTCAATAGGGATGAATGTATATGACTTAATAAAGTTGGTCTTCTTAAGATCTTAATTCATTATAGGTGTGTGTAGGCTCTCCACAGTTCATGTTGAGCTTTGTAAAACAACAGTAATGACCTCCATACTATTGAGATCTCTCTGCTTTGGTATTTTTTATTGCACCCTGACCATTATCTCTCATCAAAATCTGGATCTAAATATGTCACCATGATTTTTCATTTTGTACTCCATGACTGTTGTCACTAGTCAGAATGAGAAACCTCTGTTCATTTTTAAGACTGAACAATATTATATTGCCTCCTATGTTATTTTACTAGGATATGCAAAATGGTCAATTTTAGTAGTAATAGAGTATAGACAATGAATCCTTAACAATAGCTTGAGTTCTGTTTGATATTTTTGTTATCGATTTGTAAATATGTCAAATCAGAGCTTGCTATTTTTGGAGCTTCAATGGCTGGATCTTGTGTTGGATTTCTTCTATACAACAGATACAAAGCATCTGTTTATATGGGTAATACAGGATCTTTGGCCCTTGGTGGTGCATTAACTGCAATGGCTGCATGTACTGGAATGTTCTTCCCACTTTTAATTTCTTCTGGAATTTTCATAGTCGAGTCATCGTCAGTTATTCTTCAGGTTTGTTCCATGCTTGTAATGATGGCTACATTTATGTTATCTGATTTTTCTTTTTCCTTTTTATTTCATGAGTTAAATGTTCTCTAGTGTCCTTTTGAGAAATGTGCTAGAAGGCATCTTGTTTTTTTCTTTTCTTTTCATAATTGTTTTACTAACCATATTTGGAGTGCATGTAATCTGACTCTAACTCGCTTCGTGAGACTGCAAAATTATGAAAGTACAATGAGCATTTCATTGAAACACTACATTGAGTTCAAATTTTACATAGGGTATTGGTAAAAAAAGTGTGAAAAGGGTTTGTATGAATCTGTTAGCTATAGTAGTTCAAATTTAATATGTTTCTGATATTTTCCGCACAGGGCTTGTATGATCTAGGTTTGATATCATTTTCAAAAGAAATTATATATTTTTTATTTTGAATTTCCCGGTTCAAATCTAATTTGTTTAGTTTTTTCATATGAGATGATATGTGGTCTTAAACTGTTAAGAGCATTCCCAATGTGGTTACTTTACTCATTAAGCAATAGTACTAAATATGTACTCATTGGTGGATCTTTATTTTAATAGCTTGTTGCTTTCTTTTCCATTTCAGGTATTGCACTTGAAGATAACTAAGGGTTTGCTGGGAGCAAGTTGGGCCTTTTTAAGAATGCCACCCTTGCATCGTCGCCTCCATTTGCTCAGGTTTAGGGAACCAAATATTGTACTAGGTGCATATCTGATTTCATTTGTATTGGCTTTACTTGGCGGTTACGTGGGTCTAATTTCAGCGTAATAACTTCTGAGTGATGTGAAACTTCTCATTCTTGATATCATAGCAGCATATATCATGTCTTCAAAAAAAAAAAAAGCAGCACATATCCTCATTGAGTTGGCCTTGAACACCAACCAATACAAGAGAAGTTGTTTTACACCTGCTCAATTCTACAAAACTTTCACCTTACTTTAAAAAAAAAAAAGAAAAATCTTTGATTGAAAGTACACCTTCAGGGTGCCTTGCATGATCACATTAAGATCATGGGTTCTAACCATATTTTTGCCCGTGATCAATACATAGATAGATACCGATAGAAAATGGGATAGGATATTGAGTTTAGCAGGGTTTGGGAAATATACTGAGTTTTGGTTAGAAGTATAATTTTTATATTCTGGTAAAGTATTATGCTTCTCATTTCTGTTGCAGCACTTAATTTGCAACACATAGTGTATGTTTTTGAAAGAGATGAGTACTCTTCATGTGTAAAACTAATTTTTACTTGTTTGGTTCCTTAAATGTACAATTCATTATACTCTTCGGAATTGATATTATACTTGAAGTTATGATTTAAAACTTGAGTTTAAAACGGTAGTTTTATGGAAAAATTTAATGTTCAACTCATTTTTTTAGGAATGTAATTGAACATAAGTCATTTTTTCATTATTTTTTACACATGGTAGAAAGTAGAGGCCTTATTGTGATAAGGCGCGTCAATAAGACACGTGGTCATAAGGTGTTACCATTAGACCAACACAATTTTGTATGAAATAATTTGTTATTATTAATATATAATGGTTCGTGAATGATCATGCTTAAATTATTGAAATATTGTTTCTCCTTATTAATTGATGCAAGTTTTTTTTTTTATAAATAGAGATATTTAGGCATAAAATATACAAAATTTACTTGTTTCAAGTGCCAAAAATGATGTCTAAGTCATTCTTTTATTTTTCTAGTGCACAAGAATAAATAATGGAATTTTATTCGGTAAAATATTTTTACCGTTGATCTTAATGTGAATATACAATTCATGTTAAGGTTTTTAAAGTATCCTGAATGAGATTCACATACTAATCCATTTGCATTTAATTTGTCTAAATTGGCGGGGACGAATCGAACCTAAAGTTTAGTGTAAACACACGCTTTGAAATTTATTTGTGCAACTTTCATTGTACCGTTTTTATCTTCTTGTTCATGTTTTGCAGCAGACCTCCAACACAAGATTTAACAATTTTTAAGTTCAATTTTTGATTTTGATCTATATTTTATTTATAATTAATATTAAAGTATGCAACTTTAAAGATGCTAACAACTTTCAATGATGGTGAAAGCTACATAATTAATTCATATAATTTTAAAATTGTAGAATTTAAATTTAGGTTCTTGGTGATTAATTTGTGGTTTGAATTTTGATGGAAAGAAAAACATACATCTTTGTTTATTCGTATCATGGTGAAAGGTACATCATGTGCAATAAATTTATATATGCATGATTTATAAATTATACACGTATGTGAATTTGAATAATTAAGAATATATTTGGTTTATGATGTATACTTAAATGTAAAATACATGTTGAATATATTATTTGATATAAATAATATATTTGGTTTATGATGTATACTTGAATGTAAAATACATGTTGAATATATTATTTGATATAAATAATTTATTTTAATTAATAATACATTATTTTTAGATGAAATGATTTGGTATAAAAAAATTATGAATTTAAACTAATGGTGCATATATTGGTAACATAAAATGATGTAAATAAAATGTTAAAAATAAAAAGGACATGATTAAATTGTATTTTAATTTGTGCAATAACTTATTAAATTTAAAATGATTTATCTCATTATATGTGTATTATAATATGGAAATATTATTTCTTGTTCATCTTGATATTAAAAGTAATTTTTGTATATTTTAGATTGTTGTAATTTGACAAATATTTATGGAGAATAATGATAGAAAGTATTAATGAAGTGAATACATTGTTTATATTGAATTGTGATTTTTATTTGGATATATCATAAACATTAAATATGAAACATAAATTAATCACATGGTGTTGTATTTATATGGAATTTATGAATTACATGTTTGAACTCACTTCATGAAATAAAAGTTTATTGTGACAAATTTATATGATCATGGTTATTGATTGTTATAAATGATTAATGCATTAAATATATTTTAGATATATTTAAGTGGAAGTAAAACTTCAAACTAAAAATGTTGATAAATGAAGAATAACATAAAAGTTGTGTATATGATAAAATAAATGACTAAAGTGTCATGGTGATAATTTGTCAAAACTATCAAAAATATGAATATACTTTGTATATGATAATTGTACTAATGTGCTAAAAGTGTCATGGTTTGAAGATAGATGGAAAATACTATCAAGAGTACATAAAGTAATCATATGCATGATTAGTTGAAAAATTGAATATTCAGAATTTATTAAAGTTTGAAATTTTTTTGCAATTCTTTGACGAAAGGATTGACAAAGATATGGTGTCTTTGGAATAATTAAATACAATGAAGACGTCATTAGAGATGTGGAACAAGCCCATATCTAATTAATCATCAATACTGGAAACTCAACTCATACTTGATTAACGTTAAGTCTTGAGTTCAATGATGAAAGTACACTATTAGGGTGATTGAAGTACTTGACAATATAACATATGTTTTCCTTTTAATGGACATATAACATATGTTTGCTGGAATGCATAATTATGAGTGCATTTCTAATATAGTATAGTATATCTATAAGAGAATGAAATGGTGCTGCTTCATAGAGTTCAAGGACTTGACTCTTAAATTCTCATGAAAAGGATATGAGACACAAGGTTTTATTAAATATGTCATATTGATAATTCGATCAATGATACCAAGATTTCATGCGTGAGTTATGCACACTTATTCTAATGAATAATTGGTTCAAAGCTTCTCTACCAATCTATTCGAGAATGAGTGAAAACTTAACTTACTAAGTAATGGTTCAAATCGTAGATACCTTTGTCTGAAACCATGAAATTTTCTGAATAATGAATTTAATATATTTTGAAAATGGTGGGAGATTGTTGGAAATTTTTTCAAAATAGTAATGGTTAAATTAACAAAATATATGACCAAAAGTTGCAAGTGTCTAGAATCAAACCAGAGACTTTATTGTGATAAGGTGTGTGGTCATAAGGTGCCACCACCAGACCAACACAACTTTTCATAAAAATGGTTTGCTATTATTGATATATAATGGTCCGTGAATGATCATGTTTAAACCATTAAAATATTGTTTCTCCTTACCAATTGATACAAGTTTTTCTATAAATAGAGATACTTGTTAGGCATAAAATAGACCCAAAAGTTACTTGTTTAAAGTGCCAAAAATTATATCTAAATCATTCTTTTATTTTTCTAGTGCACAAGAATAAATAATGAAACTTTATTTCATAAAATATCATTGATCGATATGGTTAATGTGAATATGTGATTCATGTTAAGGTTTCCAAAGTATCATAAAGGAAATTCGCCGGTTAACCCATTTGCATCCAATTTGTCTAAATTGGTGGGAGCAAATCGAACCTAAAACTTAGTGTAAATACACGTTTTGGAATTTATTTTGTGCAACTTTCATCGTACCCTTTTCATCTTCTTCTTATTCATGTTTTGCAGCAGACCCCAATATAAAATCTAACATATGCTACAAAATTTCAAGTTGTTTAATGAGTGATACATAAAATAATAGAAATATGTATCTATTCCTAATTTTTTTACCTGACAATGAAGTTTTGAGCATTTTTTTTCTTCATATAATAATAAACTCACACCTGGCATATGTTGAGGGCATGGTACACGGGTAATTTTAACATTTAGATTTATTTATCGATGCTCTTATATGGAAAACTCTAAACACAATTATTCCCCTCCTCAACGTTATGATTTTTCTTAAATAAAAATGTAAATGCAAAGTTTTCTTTAATGAGAAGTGGAGAGTTATAAAAATGTAACTTTGTGTGTTTGGTGGAGGAGTTTTGGTGACTATAGAGATTTTCTGCAAAGAGGAATGAAAGTGAAAATGAATAAAAATAATGTATTGATATTTGTTTATAGAATTATGGATGAGTATAATTTAACCACACTCTAATAAATACATATTAATATCATCATTTTTAAGGTGAAAGTCTTAAACACTCCTTCAATATTAATGGTAGGTGATTTGATGCCTAAAACCTGATAGCTAATTTGTTACGCAAATATTAATGGTGGGTGATTCGATATCAAAAAATTATAGCATGTGATTCAACCATACAAAATTAGGTTGTAAGGTGAAAATTTCGCCCGCTTATACATATATATTGAGACCGTATCTTTTTCATCGTAGCCATTGGATAAGTGATGCACCTTTATATCTAAGAAATAATGAAGTTGGCCTAGATCTTTTAGGGAGAATGAGGGATTTCGTTTGATGATGCGTTCTTGAATAAAGAGTTTAGATGCGTTAATGATAATGATGACATCCACATTGACAAGGTCAAGTGTAGATTGAGCAGAGGTGTGAAACATGAAGACAGATGGGCCACATTATTTAAGGCATCTTTGAGTATGTCAAGCCGAGCCCTTGGGGCTGTTTAAGGCCATACAAGGTCTTGTTGGTCTTGCAAACCAATTTAGAACCAGTTTTGTCAAACCCAAGGGGTTCAACCATGTAAACTTCTTCATTGAGAAATCCATTAAGGAAGATATTATTAATGTTAAATTGTTGAATTTAAGAGACTGTCATTATTGTGAGAACAGGTCTCACAATGACATATTTAATAACTAGTGAGAAGGTCTCAATATAGTCAGCCTTTTTACTTTACGAAAAATTATTTACTAGTCTAGCCTCAAACCTATTAATATTTCCTCCAGGTTCTCTTTAATTTTAAAATCTCATTTGTAACCAACATGTTGCATGTGTTGGTGGAGACACCCAAGTCCATGTATTATGCTTGATTAAGACATCA